AGCGCCGAATGGCAGCTTCGCGGCCGGAACCTTAGGAAGCGTCTCGTGCTTATAGGCGCCGGCAGCCTCGGTATCAAAGATTTCTTCACATAAGTATGCGAGGGATGAAAACGTTGAAAAAAAGCACGAATGACGAAAGACAACTATTACGCGATAGGCATGAGATATTGTTCAATATTTTTTGTTCTCTTAATTTGATGATCAATATTTATAATTTTATGTTTGATCATCCCAAAAATCAATGTAAAAGAGTGCTCAGTAACAAGCACTGGGGGAAAAAAACAGATTGGATCTAGAGTCCAGACTCTTGAAAACATTGACAAGAAAAAATACTCTTGATTCAATCAGATTTTTGCTTAAATCAAAAGGAAATCCACTCAAATTAAGAGGCTTGGTTCTTGATTTAAGCAAAAATCCGATTGAATCAAGAGTATTTTTTCTTGTGGATGTTTTTAAGAGTCTGGACTCTAGATCCAATGTGTGCTTTTTTCCAGTGAGTGCTTTAATATTAATTACATAAATATGGAATATTGCTTCTTCATTCCCTTTTAAATGTGTTTAAATACTCGAAGCGCAAGATGCTCGGCGAGATGGACACAAAAACAAAAGATAAAATAGTTTGCAGCCCTCAATAGGCACCTGGCACCCCCGCCTGCCCCCTCACCACACCTCTCCATGCGTGCACCCCGGCACCCCTCTTCACCTAAACCCAGGACGGCCTCTCCGTAACCCCCAGCGCGAGAGATTCATTAGTATTTTGAGATGTTGCCGCTTGTCGCAAGAAATGTCGAAGACGCTTATTATTTGTCCTTCCTGCGCAGTCTGACAACCCTGCCACAGTTTTTTTAAAGTTAGAAAAAAGGCAATAACTCCCTTCTGAGTGAGAATTACAAAAATCGGGCTGCGAGGTGGAGCATCTGTATTGAGTGTTCAATAGAATCAGTCATTTACAAAAAGTCGTAAGCGCTAAAATATCGAAACTTAAGATTATAGTGGTTCGATATGCTTAAAGTGACAAGAAGAAAAACGGAGTTTAAAGACCTTGAACATCTGAAATGTCTAGTCTTCCTCAAAAAGACTCAAGCGCAAAAAACACTATACCTACGACGAGGTGTTTCAGACCGTGCCAGACTTGTTTCTCGGTTATTTTCGGTGGGATGAAATCGGAAACTGCGAAAACAAATAGGAAATTGACCCCGAGCAAGCCAAAATTCAATGCCTCCTCCACCCCTCCTCACTCCTTGGAAAGTGAAAGAGAGGTCATGACTTAACATCTGGGTTCCCTTAAAATTTTTTGTAATTTTCCCCAAAATTTTGGAAAGTGTGGAGAATTTTACCCCTTATCAAAACCAAAAAATCCCAAGTACCCACTCCTGTTCGAAATATTGACCCCTAAAGATGGCAAAAAGTTAGATGATTTTGGATTTTTTGGTATCGATTTAAAGTAAAATTTTCCATACTATCGAAGTATGATGGAATAATATGACAATTTTGAAGTTAACTCCAATTTTTAAAGTAACGAGTTCCCTTCTACTCCCAGAGGATGCCAAAGGGGTCTTTGCGGCTATAAAAGGATTGCTTAAGGTTGATTCCTTACTCAACCCTGTAGTTTTCAACTTCATCCAACCTAATATAATGTAGTCTCCAACTTCATCCGTCCTAATCAAACCAAGAAAAAAAACCTGGTACGGTCAATCTAAAACACCCTGTACAAGATAAAGGTTTAAATAAATAACATTGACCAGGAATAGGGTGCTCAATTATCAAAATAATTACTCATTGGGCAGTGCCAGTTCCTTACTCTACCTAGGTATAACATATGGACATGAAAGTAGCGACACAATGTCAAAATCAAATGTCACAATGCCTGAACAGTCCGCCTGCCTGAGGGAGCCCTATGTGCTGCCGCGCACATGTATTCTGGTAAGTTGTACCAGTAAAGATGATCTTTTTGCTGCAATGTGGTGAACAGGGAGGGAAAAAATAGGGTTGACTAAAAGTAGGTCTAAGTCTTAATAATTTTGACATATAGTGTGAATGTTCATGGTAGCCTTCATGCGTTTGGTCTTCTCTACTTATCGTCAGATCAACTCTTCCGTCTTCCTCCTCTAAGAATACTTAAGTGCTTAAACTATAAGGCTGCCATGGAAATTTATTCCATGCTGTAATCAATACTTGAGGGATATGCATGAATCTGTGATGCTTATGGCATGAGATCAACCATTTTCAAGGCATGATTATCATGGGAAAATAAAACCTTGGACGGACCCTCATAGTCGCACTACTTCATAGATTAGACTGTGCTCTTTACTAAGACTTTCCAAAGTCTCACTCTCACCTCTAGGCAAGAAGTATTCAACCTCTCATCTGTGAAACCCCTTTTAAGGTGACTCGGAGTATAAATTAGTTGGTTAGATGCTGTCATAGAGAGACAGTAAAAGTAGGTAGACCACAACATGGCAAGTGAATCCCTGGTAAAGATTAAGCAATACATTGATGAACAAACCCACCCAGAGGGTTTGAGACTTCCCATAATTTGAAAGTCTCGATAATTTCGCAAAATATCAAACTTCGAGGAGGAAAAATAAACTGTTAGTGATTACTTACAGGTATTTAGAGAACACATTGGTACCTTGAGGTATCGACTAAAGTGCAGCTGAATATTCTTTGGAGGAACGTAGTTCAGACAGGAGGCACTTCGCACTTATACAAATAATTAAGAACCTCAATTAACTTTTAATATTCTTCACGGAACTTATTCACAACACTCAAGAGAAGATGAAGAACCACGTTCATTTACAACTTGTTATCAAAAATATGTAACGCGAATGTAAACAAGTCGATCCACTCCCATTGGTTCCCGCCAATTTAGTGCCGCGTTCGGCCAAATATACAAATTGACGCGCCAATTTTCAAATAAGCGGGGTTACACTTCTTGAGCGCAAACTGAGAATTGTAATCGTACATCTTTTTTCTCCGCTGTTTAAGGTCGAACGAAGCCAGAGACCGCGTAGTTGCATAGAGAGTCGACCCCAAGGATTTCGAATTTCATGGTTCCGAATACTCCCCCCCCC